TATCTATCAGCTGTTATTATACAAATGGGTATCTTACATTTCATCACTATTTTCTACTCTGTGCATAAGGAAATAATGTAATGTTTCCAGAGAAAAAGAATCATGAAGGTCTCATAAGACTTATGCCAAACATCTCAATAATTTGAAAACAAACAGACTCCATCCCTGAATAAAGTTTTAAAACATTTCATGATGGGGGGGGTGGCGGGGTAGGGTGGGGTGTCTATCTGCATTCTGGGTCAAGAAATACTTAAATCAACTTCCTCATGTCTCTTCCACATTACATTGTTCTACTTCTTGTCACAGGCTCTACAGTTTCACATAAGAGTAAAATATACACAAGCAGATCCAGGGGACGGAAATTACTATTAATCAGCCTGGCTGGATTCCTGTGGGTTCCCTGGTCTCAGTATGGGTTGTCCATTTTCAAGTTACTTTAACAGTGACTGCTGTGGCATTCATGCCTTCAAAATAAGGCAAGACAGCCATTCCTTTAAATGGTTCTCCTCGGTGCCCTTAGCATCCAGGCTGCACCAGAATACTAAATCCCACAGCAATCCCATCAAAGGGCATGCATGTTTTATTTCTCAAGCCCATACAAGCAAAAACTCAGGCAGTTCACTTCAGTGCAGAATTTGCCAGACAAGCTCACTGGGGGAACTCCAGTGCATCAATCCAGCTCAGAGGCACCTCTAAAAAATATATACAATTTACAGAGTAATTTACATTAACAGTTTCAGTTGCCAATATATGTGTCCTGAGTGGAAGGATGGGCTTCGCTCGGATATGTACCAACTGTTTCAACGCACTGGTGTCACAAGGTGGCAGCAATACACCAGGCAGGAGCTAAAGAGCCATGCACACCCATAGGGGTCCGGAGCTGAGGCTCTTCCTCTGCCAGTCTTAACAGTTTGCCACTTAGTTTCACCCAGAGGAAATACAGTCGGCATTGCCATAAAACAAGCAAGTAAATTGTTTGGTTAAAAGTGACTAAACAGATCTACGATGGTAACTTAAAATATATCACCTCTCCTCGATTATGGTACAGCAGGAAAAGTTTCCCACAACGCTGATTTCTGGGTCATAACCAGCAAATGCATCAAAATGATGAGTTGTACCAACAAGAGACGCTGGTTTCTCCCATGCTCTGCATGAACAGGTAATTCCCCGACTGCATCAATCAGTGAAGCCCTGGCTGGCAGCAAGGACAAACAATACGGACTATCTCAAAGAACCATGACTCAAGGTAACCATCTAACCATTCATTTACAGCATCTTCTAGTTCAGATGAACTGAGATTCCACTTGAAATCTTACAAAAGCGACTCTTTATAGTCTTCCTGTGTTCAGGAAGGAGAGATGTTTCTACGCAGCAGGAAAACCTGGCGGCAGTAGTCACGGGTGTAAGAGGGTGGTAGGTTGGGGGGAAGATGGACATGTATTCTTGGGGCTGTAGCAAAAAGACATGGGGTCATTCTTTACCCGCTGGAAACAGCAGTTCTCAGAGCACCTGCTGTGGTATCAGGAATAAGGCCAGGATTGTTCAGAACAGGAGAGTGAGGAAGAAAACCAGAAAATAAGTTAAACAGGAAAGCAGAGTTAGGAAGCGACCCTCAGAGCTGAACATGGTCCTCTTCCCGAGGAAGCAGGTGCCTTGTGGGGATGGATAACACATTTTCTGCACACTTCTGTGAGAATTGGTTCTAGAGCATCTTCCTCAAAACACAGTATGCATGGAACAGAAGTACACGTTGAATACACTTAGAGCAAACACACCTGTATAGACAAGTGTATTCAACATATAAGTCAAATACATTTAGACTGCACAGCAACATCTAAAGGTCATTTATCCACTGCATACCACACAAACTCCATGCAAAGAATTTAAAATGTTTGGCACATACAGTAAACAGTATTACAAAATAGATCTGTAAGAGAAACAGGCAAAGCAAGGTGGTTAGCACAAAATGCAAGATATTTCCTCAATTTGAGACCAGGAAATAAGAATAATCTTTTTGCTGCATTCATTTAAACAGGGTCTTGTTAAATAGCTTGGACTATGTTTTGTCGCCATGGAATACTTTCCAAAGCCTCTGACACAGAACACACACGTACTCCGAAAAGTCAACCTGCCGGCCTCTAATTAAATTATGACCAGAGAGAAAGAACACAGGATCTCAGGCTGCATCTCTCCCACCTAACCTGAGTTGCTTGAAAGTTAAGCATTTAGTCAAAATTACTCATTTTGGTTCCCTCTATAGTCAGTGGAGAGGCAGAGGAGCTCACTTCACCCTAGGAAAGGTGGGATTGCTTGTCCACTCAGGATAGTTCTCGCTCGCTCTATTAACTACCACAGAAGCTTAGATTAGACAACAAAACGCTTAGATGGACACCTACCCTTCTGCTGGTAAAGTCAGATGAAATGAAACCAATGGACATAAATCAAAACCATGCAGAGTCTCATACCTGATTAGGGCCTTACTCAACACAGTCAGCACATACAAGTGGCAAGGAATAAATGAAGCAAGATGTTATACAGAGATATATGTATGCGTTTATCCACATTCAATATTATATAGACATGTTTTGTTCACTGATTGTGCAAGAAATATCTTGCCTATTAAAAATGCAGTTAAATTGTGGGTGTCAAAGTGCACTGTCTTCCGTCTGTACATTCTCCAAGAACAGAAACAGAATGGAAGAGGAATGAGTTACCACACAATTTGAGCCAATGACTTGGGAAACAAAAAACATCTAGATATTCCCAGTAAAACTTGCTTCATACAAAGGTATTAAATGATGCTCAGGAATTTTAAACTATATATTAGATATTATGCAACAGAAAGTGTTGTAAACTGATATAGAAAAACTTTTCTCAAAAAATGGGTCAAGGAGGAAGGGGAATAAGAAATGCATGCAGATAACAGAAATCCCTGTATTATAATTTTGCCTCATATCCAACAGGTGGAAATCCATTTTGAGTAGTAGTCCCTGGGAGTAAAGTGGCTTCTCCTTATCCTCCCTGAGTGGCTCACGCGCTCTTTTACTTCATTAAGCACAGTTAGACTTTTTCCTGCTGTCAGCAGCATCTGTGCAGAGCACACCAATTTACTCCAGTTTATCTGCCAGGCTAGAGTGCTGCCATCAGCATCAAAGATGGGGGAAAAACAAGCGTGACAAATCCTGTTCTTACTACTCTATCTTCCCTCTGCTGCAAGAGCAGCTCATCTAGGAAGAACTGATTGTGTGGAGTCTAATTCTTTCCAGTCACTGCTCCAGCTGTCAGGTATTGAGAGCAATAATGAGATAGGACAAGACAGGTCTTTAAGGAAAGAAAAAAAAAATCTCAAGCCCTGAATGGTCCTATCTTCTGGCTTAGCTGTCAGCATTGCCTTGCAGAGTGCGGGCTGCCACACCAGCCCGTGTTTCCCAGGAGACATTTTCTGCAAAGACAGCAGATGGCCCAGGCTCCCAGCCTCCTGCCATTGCTTCCTCCCCTCAATGCCTAACAGCTTTTGCATTTCTGTAGTGGTGGAGCTCACCCCCAAGAGGAGACTTAGTACTGAAATACCCTGTTCTCTCCTGATTAACCTAGAGAATAGTTATACAAGAAGTCAATAACACTCCTTCCCAAAGGAAACATGAGGAATGAACTTGTCTAAAAAGGAAAATGAACAAAGATTATGCAGGAAATCTCATTCTTCTACTGCAGCACCATTTGTGTGAACTAAACTAGGGAAAGCATGAGCTAGAGCGGGATGGGAGAGCTGCAGAGGTTGTTCCAGTCTTTGTCCTTATTTAAAAAAAAACAAGAGAGAGGGCAGAGGCTGAACAGAGGTTTGGTACTGCTACTACTGCCCACAGGGACTCCACCAGCACTCAGAAATCCAAACTGCTTTGTCCATGAGCTAGTGATGAACTTGGCCTGTGTTTACTTTGCATGCTTCCTCTTCACTGTCACCTCGGAAAGGACCAGCCCTGGTGCTGTCACTGGGAGGACTCCATGCTGCAGTAGTAGTTCTGCTGAAGTAGCGTCTCAGGTTTCAGGGAAATACTGTATTTAACAGCTAAACCAACAGGAGTTGTCAACACTGTGTAGGCTGTGATGTATTAGAGGCCAGGCTAGATAATCACAGTAGTTCTCTCTAAATATAAGCATGTATGTATATTATGTCCGTGTTTGTATACATACATTTATATATGTGCATCCATGAGCCATGTAATACATGGAGATGAGTTGCACATCTTGGTCTCTCAATTCTGAGTCTGCATGTCATGCTAGTCCATGCCCTGCCTGATGGATAAATGCAGTGTCCATAACATGGTAATATGCCATACTCCTTTTCAGTTTATCTCCCTTCTTTCCTTTGTTCTTATAGTTCACTTGGTAAACAGCATGCCCTACTTTCCTCATCTAAGTCACTCCCAGGAACTTCTTTTACTTCCCAAAACCTTATCACATCAGGAAGTACAAGGAAGGAGAAAAAGATGCTTTGCCAGACTGTAATCTAGGAGAAGTCAGAATGTGCACGTGTCATAGAGTATTTTAATATTGAGCCTCCTTTTTTTCATTATTAATTCCAACCGCCCACCCACAATTGTGCATTTAGGGTTCTCACATGACTCAATGACACATCTAACCAGATCATATATTAACCAAGGGAGAAAATATGTGCCAGATGCTTTACAAGTCAAAAGATAACTTGGGCAATGAGAAAGCTGTGTACCAACCAGGTTAGACTAGCCTGAGAAGTCTGTCCAAATGAAAGGTAACAAAATATACTGTCTTCTAAAAACTGGAGTTCGACATCAAATTTGACATCAGGTTATTAAAGTGAGATTATTCTCTCCTCAGCTATTGACCACAGAAGGCCAAGAAACAGTTTAGGGTGTGAAGTTCAACAGCATTACATATCTACTCTGGCCACCCACAGACACCAGACTGGAATTTGTACAGTATCACCAATTTCTCAGAGAGAGAGACAAAGAAAGAGAAAAAATGTGTACATAGTTGTATATATCAGTTTTTGTAACAAACAACTTCTACCTAACAAGCCATAAAACCCAGCAGCAATTATCATCATTAAAAAATTGGATCTTGGATGCTTAACGACATTTGGAAAATTCCAGCTTTCCTCTAAAAATACACTTAGTAGAATAGTGTAGCATCAGTCCAAAAGTTCTCTGAAAGCTATTAACCTCCTGCCAAATCCAGTGTTTTTTCCCACTCTCCCCAAAATTATCATTTCTATCTTTCTATTATGTGTTTTCAAGTATGATTTCCTCTCTTCTGAGTCATCTGTGAACTAAAGCTCCAAATGTATGTTATAAAAGGCATCTCAATAAACAGAAAGAAGAAAAAGAAGCCCTCCCAGGAGGGCTGGGAAGAAGCTGTACATTTATAGTGTCTGTTATCGACATGGTCTTTTGCAACCGAAATGGCAAGACCAAGTTCATCTAATAGGAGCAAGTCATGAAGCTTGGCAATCTTTGTTTACAGCTGTATGTATTCTGTCCTTGTATTTCAGGTTCAGATGTGTCTGAGAAGTCAAAGGCAAGTCTAGTGAAAAGCAGTTGGACACTGTAGTTGCTAGAACTGGACCCACCACAGTATAGGGCTGAAGCTCCAGATCAGTTCAAAGTGTGGATCTCTGTGAGCGGAAATGTAATTTTGACCAAATGCAGTTTGTCACTCAACAAATACAGTTCTTAATCCCATGGAGATCCACTTCATGGTCCAATGAGCCTGATAACCTCCTGCCTGGTTCTTTTCTCTCCTAGTCCCCACTAAGGAGCCTTTTTAGACAAACATTTAGGATTCTTAAATGACTAATGACACAAAATGAGAAAAGGAAAAGATAGTTGAAAACTATTAATAGATCTGTAGTTTGAGCTTGAGCTGAGAAAGCAACTGGACTGCATACCAAAACAAAGTTCCCAATAATTTCAGTAGAGCCAGGATTCCTCTTCCATGCTGAAAGGCCATTTAATTGATTTATCTGACTTCCAATATAATACAGGCCACAGAAGACTACTTAGAAATTCCTGCAGCAACAGAATGGTTTTTTTTTCCTGTTATGTAAGAAAATGAAATCCAGCCCAGTACTTCTAGATGTTATTTTTAGGGGGATTAGACATAAGCTAGAACTCCTATATGGGGCAGTTTCAATTAATAATGATTAGGCTGAATATGCTTAAAGACAAAGTAATCTGGCAAGGAAGAAAGTAATTGTGGATGTGGAAGGAGAGAGAAAACATTTGTGATCTTTACCTACTCCAGTTCAAAAAGCACTCCTATAATAAATTAACATTGATAATCAACACAGTAATACAGCTCTAAGTTTCCAAAATAATTTTCTCTTGAAGGTGAAGATCCTTTTTAGACATTTTTCATCAACAAGAACAGGTAACTCCCAGTCTAGACTCTATTTTTAGAAAGCATCTCTAATTTTCAATTATCCCAACGAATGAAGACTTTCAGCTAAAGGTTTCACGCTAAGGTCTATTTCAGAGCATCGTCCCAGGTCTGATTTCAAGTATTTCCACACTGCTTTGATGTTTGGCTGTTGGTTTGGACTGCAACCCCCATTACTTTTTATGTACTATATAGATGTTAGTGGGGAGGTTACCTTGAGAGATGAACCTTTAGGACTGAAACATTTAAATGGCTTCTTGTCTTCAGATACACCATCTTCTGGCATCTTTTGACGTTTCTCAGCAGCTTCAGCCCTTCTCCTTTCAATTTCTTCCTTCATCCTCCTCTTTTCCTCCTTAAAAAAACATGAATGGTCACTTATTCTTTCAGAAACTACATCACCATTACAGGGCTTTGCAGTCCTGCAAACATTTACCAAATTTTCTAAGAACAGATTTTTATTCCAGTCAAAAAAGTTCAGTGACCTATCTGAAATCTAGCAACATATTGCTGCTAATCCATCACAGTGTTAAGGAAGCAGGGAAGACAACTAGTCTGTGCTGCTTGAGTGTCTCCTCACAGTGAGGTCACCAGATTTATTGCCATATAGTGCCACTTAAAGAGAGAAAAAAAGCACATTTATAAAAATACTCAACTTCAGTTTCTCTGTATCCTCATGTATCATCTTTGTACTGTTCTTCTGTCCATCTACACTGGCACTTGTTGTGCCAAGGTTAATAACTCACAAGGAAAAAATCAAGAGGTGCCCACAAAAGTGAAGATTAAATGCTTACAGTTTTCCCTCAAAAGAGATAATGCAAGTTTTTACTTCATAAGCTACAAGTCAAACCAGAAGTCCTCAAAGCACAACCATTGTGAGCACCGGTTGGCAGGGTCTGACTGGCAAGGTATTGTGCAATCTCAGCATCTATTGAGTTCTACTGTAAAGAGCTCAGTATATTAAAGCAATTGGCATCCAGCTGCCAAACACTATTATTAATTATCTACCATTCATTTTCCAAACAACTAAGATTCCTAAATGATGCACCAGAGATTTGGAAGCCCTATTTATAGAGTCCCTTGGCAGAGAAAGTACAAGCAAACAGATGTGCTTGGGTACTCGATATTTAAATAGACAAGAATATCTTCCTAATGAGATCTAGCCCATCGCAACTATATATAACATTAGCATTCCAGCTCATCTGCAGCAGACGAATTTTGACATGCGCTTTGTAATTCAATTTGTGTAGTGTCAAAAAGACACCCCGAATAACTTAAGAACTCCGTGGCTATAACACTGCCCCCAACATTTTGCATCCCCAAGAAGATAAGAAATTCGCAACTATCGCAGATGAAATCCTGACTCGTGAAGACATTTATTAGGGCCCTGCCTTTCCTGAGGCTAGAACTGTAACGTTTCTTCCTACCCTGGATGACTGCATGTTTTACCTCAGGTCCTCGCTAGAGCATCGCTAATAAACAGTGATGCCCAGAAGAGCACACAACCCAGAGGGCCCAGAGAAAGGGCGCAATTTGAAGCAAAGTCACAGCAGCAATTCCCCACACAGCAACACCATATCCAAGAAGGAGAAGCACGCTTCGGCCTGTATGCTCGGGTTTGGTCTTGCCCTCCTTGTTGCATGCTCCTTCCTCACCTATGAGCCAGTCTCCCGAGTCCTCATTCTGCCCTTTTTTTAAATACAGACCCATCAACCTCCAGCCTCACCAACTTCTTTGCCTAAAAGCGTCTGCACAGACACTGCTGTAAAGAGTTATCAACTAATGCAAGGCCAGTGGAAGTAAAGTAGTAACAAGAAGGGACTAAAAACAGAGTCCAATACTTCGTATTTTACACTTACCTCCTCTCTGGCTTTTCTCTCAGCCTCCTCCTGCTTCTTCTTCTGCTCCTCTTCTTCCAGGATTTTCCGGCGCTCCTCCCGCCTTTTCTTCAGTTCGTCCAGCTCTGCTGCCGCCTCCTGCTGCTTCTCCTTCAGCTTCTCAAACTCCTCATTCTCACCTCGGCGACGGCGCTGATCTTCTAGCCGCTTTCCAGCCTCGACTTGAGACCCTGGCTTCGCTTCCTCAGCATTTGCGATCCCTTTCAAATTGGAGCGGCTAGGAAAGAAATGAAAGGGAAGGTGATGCACCACGGATTTTCCCTTCCTGGCCAGAGCCACCCACTGCCATGCACCCACCAGCAACATGAGAGCCTGGTACTCAAAGATATTGCCTTATAAGACCTTTTTCTCCTTGCAAACTACGACAGGCCTAAAACTTTTCTATCAGGAGTTAGTAGGCTGGGATACTACAAGGAGCACCTCTCCCATCCGCTGCCAGTGAGGAAGGAGTCTCTCGTGTGCTTGTGTGCACAGGAGCTGCACCACCCTGGCTGAGAACTCAGGTCACCTCAATTTTTAAGAGAATTCAGTAACTGAGCTTGAAATATTTAACATCTCATGTAACTTCAGCAAGAGGTATTATATCTCATCACCATCTCCATGGTATACAGTAAACTGTTACAGTTTCACACCTTGTCTCTGCAGTTTGTGTACAGAGGAAACACTTCCAAAAGCATATTATATTTCATACAGAAAACAAAGCAATGGAAAGCTATAACTAATTCCTCTCTGTTGATTTTAAATGAGATAAATTTACATATAAAAAACTCATAGCAAAAATATTATGCTATGTTCTGTGTAATGAAAGATGCACTAATCCTTTGCTTTCAAAGGCAAGTATTTTTTATAAACCCTCTAGAAAAAGATAAGCATCTTTGGGGACAGAATGAATTACTTGACTTGGGGAAAACAGAATGAGACAAGAGAGGGGGTGGAGAGA